GATGCGATGAGTCAGCATTAGCAGGCAGAGCCACAGGCAAAGGCAAAGGCACAGGCAAAGCCACAGCCTTCGGCTATGGCAAAAGTCTGGACCATCAGCAGCTGGCTGACATTGATGGCTTGTCGGCAAACTAGGCCCAATTCATGGCCCAATCTACAGGCCAATGCCGGATCATGCCACATTCACCTTGGAGCGTGTCAACTGCACGCCCTGCACAGCGGTCAAGTGCAGTCTCCGGCCAAAAGCCACTCGCCATTGGGCCACCGATTCAGGCATTTTCCTGCCAGGACTTGGGCTAACTTTTTGGGGCTGAAAACTAAACAACAAAATTTTGAAAACAAAAACTGTTCGTTAAGTAACTGCTGGATGGGATTAATGCCAAACGTGTGTAAAAACGAATCACACATCGAAATGTGTGCACCACGGCGCTGGTACTCCTGCTACTCCGTCTCCCTCTCTCTCCTCTCTCGCTCCTCTCTGTCCTTGATGTATCACTTCCGCTGTCTGTTAACTTACGAGTAGGGGCCATAAATACGCTCGGCGGCCAAGAGCACACGCGCCAAGCGATCCGACGATGGCAGCGATGGCAGTGCGACCGGCATTCAGACCATTTAATAGCAACACGTCTTTCTGGTATTTTCACACGCTTGAGCATCACATTGGATTCAACGTCACGTTTTAGTGTTGTCCCCACACCCCGCACCCGCCACCCCGTCATTCAGCCACCATCCACAGCAGGCCCCCCAGCACCAGCCCCGCAGCAGCAGCCTTCACCCGCACTGCCGAATGGCAGAGGCGATGCCTAATATGCTTATGTTGAATGGCTGGCTGGCTAGCTGGCTGCATGGCTGGATGGCTGTCTGTCTGTTTGTCAGACAGACAGACAGAAAGACAGACAGAAAGACAGTCAGTCAGTTGAATTGAACCCTTTTCTCGCTTGCCATTTTAAAGTGCCCCAAAAACAGGGACCACACACACACACACATTGGGAACCATCCCAATAGCGGCAGCAGCAGCAGCGGCAGCCACAGTGCCACACGCAGACATTGAACGGGCGGGCGGTGGCGTCAATGTTGATATTTCAACTACAATATTATTTTCACTTTTAGACAGACGAGGATGAGAGGATGCGAGGGGATGCGAGGGTAACCAAAGCATACAGTTAGTTTATTTTGGAAATTATAATAAGCCACTTTGTGGCGCCGCCAAGCGGTGTCATGCAGGAGCTAGAAGGATTTCGAGTAGGATTCGGGACTAGGAGTCGAAGTGTCTGTGGTGTGTCTGGTGTGTGTGTTTGCCAAAAGTTATTCCAGATTGAACGTGCCCGTCTGACGACTGCTCCCAGTCCGACACATAACTTTCTGCGCACAGTCCTTGGCAGTTGTTCAGGCGGCGAGTGCAGGATGTCGTCGATGCTGGTGTACCGGCCCGGCCCGGCTAGTGCTTAAAACTGTAGCCAGAATTGGGATTCTGATTGGTCGCACAGGGCATTTCTCCACGCAGGACAGACATCGTGTGGCGTGTCTGCAGCTGGGCACCGGGCAATATCTATGACTGGCACTTAATAAGATAAGCCGCGGCCCCAACAGCAACTAATGTAATTTGTGAGGACAGAGCCAGCCGCCGACAACAGCCGACAGCATTTCCAAATTCAATCAGCCGTGCAAAAATGCCTCAGAGTGCATTCTGCTGGGTCTGGGTCTGGGTCTGTTGTGGCCCTCTACCTTGTGGCAGCAAACAACAACAACAGCAAAAAAATGCAATTAAGCCCTCAGTCCAGTGAAGCTTCAAAGGAGCTGCACCGAATGCGGTCACTCGAATAGTTATAGAGATGGCATGGCCATGGACATGGATGTGGACATGGATGTGGACTGCACTTGCACTCCATTCCATTCCATTTCATTTCCAGTGGAGGCAACAAGCAGAAGAGGCAACAGGCCCAACGGCACGACAAATGCCAGAGATAATTAGGATTATGCCCATTACGTAGCTCTCGTCGAGCGGAAAAGTAATTTGCAGCAGAGCCAGCAGAGCCATCTGCCAAAACAGTTCCCGTCCAGGGGCATAGGTAACTGGCAATGGCAGACGTCACGAGTGGTTCTTGCTTGCCTCTCATTATCTATCTAGGGATCTAATAATTTTGTATTAACAAAACTGTCGCAGATATCATCAGAACATCGACTTAGAGTTGAAACCATTCCAATATATAGGAAACTTGATCTAGGATCAAGTCAGAGGAGGCAAGAAATGCAGATACATTTCCCTGGCGTGGATTTTTTCATCATCGATGGACTGGAAAATGAACCAAGCTGTCCCGGCTGTCCAGCTACCATTGACCTTCACCAAGGCTGAGCTATGGCCAAATGAGAATTGTTGAAATATTGCCCCCCATCCACTATCCACTCACACATTTGCTTACGTGGCTGAGGCACAACTTTTATCATAAATTTGAGAGGAGGCTCGCAACGGAAATAAACGGGGGCAATGCTGCGAGCTGCTGAGTGGGGTAATGTGAATATATTGCCAGTGGCCCAGCCCAGTGGACCCAACTGGGACCCACAACCACCCAAAGACACTGGAATGCCGGCAGCAGTCGGCAGTCTTAAAGTTTAAAGTATTATTGTAAATATTTTCGCATACGACTTGCAGGAAATTTCAGGGCGCACCTTATCCGTGAATCCGTGAATCTGCCTGCCTATCCAGCCTCCAGCCAAATCCCCGTGCAAATCCAAGCTGTCACAGCGGAAAAGCTTTGCTTTCCAGCACCCACAGGACAGATAATTTCAACTTTTCAGCGCTTTTCTCCCTTGAGCAGCAGTGCTTATGCAGCGCTCTCATATGCGAGTCGGTGAAAGGTCAGCTGGGTATTAAGCCCGAATCGGAGCGGAGTACTTGCTCTCCCTCTGGAGCTGCTGACTGCTGACAGCTGCCAGCTGGCAGGACTCTTGTCGATGGCAATTACCACACGGCTCGGCCTTGCACTTGGCCTATCCAATGCGATGACAGCAGGGAATCAAATGTGTCATCAAGTGCCAGCACTCTGGGGTTGCCTGCCTGCTTTGCCTGGTTTGCCATATGAATAGTTAATGACTCGTATGCGATGTGTCCGGCACTGGTCCAGGCTCTGGCTGCCCTTGTCCTTGCCACACACACACAAACACACACGGACAATGGGCCAAGCCAAAGCTGTTGCAGGGGCAGAGACATTAGCAATGCAGGTGCAGGTGCAGGTGCAGGTCCGGGCAGTAGACACTGACTGGAAGCTTGGAAGCTGTAAAATCTTACACTGCAGTTTATGCAAAATTGCCGATAGCAATTTGCAAATTTAATGGCGTGAACAAATTCAATCAATGTATGCAAACAAAAACAGAGGCAGAAGCAGAAGCGTAGCCAAAATGTCCTGAGGGGCAAAGCTGCTGTATGCGGAATGTACTCTGGCTCTGGCTCTGTCTCTGGCTCCATCTCTTGCTCTGTCTCTGGCTCTGTCTCTGGCTCTATCTCTGGCATTTTGGAAGCTGCAGCTGCTGCTCCTCCTCCTACGCGCTCGACAGTCCGAATGGATTTTTGGGCTGGCACTGGGATTTTGGGTATGCTGTGCCCTAAATGCCTTTTAGTTAAAACTGCAAAAGGCAACAATAATCAATGCTTGGAATCGTTGTCCATCGACCCGATAAGTAATATGTATGGCAGCCAGCAGTCCCCCATGTCCACCATGTCCACCATGGCCACTATCCACTGTCCACTGTCCAGTGTCTGCTATCTGAGGGCAGTCAGGTGCCATAATTGTGTGTTGTGTGAATGCTGCCCAGCAGGGCTCTGCACCCATGGGAACCTGCACAGCGGCTTCCCCCCCACTGCCACTGCCACTGCCACTGCCACTGATTTTACTTATCACATTCACATAAATTTCGGTTGTGCTTTGGCATTTTGTCTCGCATTCTCTGTGCTAAACCCACAGGACTGATCAAAATTTGCCAAAGTTGTTAATTGTTGAAGGACAATTAAAAGGTTGTGTGGCCACAGCAGCAGCAGAGATAGAGATGGCTCCTCTGCCATAATGGTTCTGATTTCCTTGCAGGAAATGCTGTTGTAGCTGCTGCACGAGGGGAGTTCTGTATCTGAGTCTGAGTATGAATGTGGGGGAAGCGCTGGGAAAGCCGCTTGGTAAAATATGGACACCATTTTTTTGTTCCTTGCACACAAATTTGTCTCTAGTAAGCGTACAAAATGACAAGTCAACTTAAAAACTTGGTCGAGGCAAAGGCAAAAGCAAAAGCAAAAGGGCTGCCACCACTCCAAAAGCTGCGTCTGCCCGGGGGGGGGGCAACTTTGTTCCAGGCTGGAACACTTGGGGTCGCCTGTCATCAGTATGGAGCGTATAAATATCTGGTAAAATATTGTAAAAAGCAGCCTGCAAATTAATGATAACGACGGCACCGAACCAACACCTTCCACGAGGCAGACACCCAGCCAAGGGCAGAGTCAGAAGCAAAGGCAAAGCCAAAGGCAACGACTTACTCGTAAGTGACATGAAACAACCAACTACTTACAGGAGCAGGGCAGGACGGGCAGGATGGGCTGGGCTGAGGGGGAGACAAAACTTGACAGGAGACCTGCAGCCCATGTCGGCGGTTGGTTGGTTGGCTGGTTGGTTGTCTGGCTGTCTGGCTAGGACACGCTGTCCTGTCCGGGTGCCGTCTTTGACTTGACAAAGTGCACCCCGGAATTTGTCCAACTGCAGGGCGCAGTAGACCCAGTAAGTAATGCTTCCTGTTGCTCCACACTGTGCCACACATCCATTCATCTACGCGTTTTAGTTATTTATTTGCGAACATTTTTCATATGCCTATCTGATCCCCCACACTCTGCATCAGTCAGTAGTTCGTACAGTCGCCTCGACTGGCATTTTCAGTCAGTTTTTTGAACTGACAAGCCACAACACACATAGAGTGTTCCGAGTATGTACAATGAGACCTTCAAAATTTGTTGTTTTGATGGTGATGGTGATGGTGATCTGTTTAGCCCACTGGCCACCACCGTCCATGGGCAGTGATGGGACCACAGCGGGCCACAGTCTGTCGGATGCGGAGATGCAGAAAATATTGCTAGCGAATGGGAACGGCAACGGCAACGGCAACTATGGCAACATCTCCGAGTTTCACTTTCTGATCACTGGCGGATATCGGCCGGAGAAAAATAACCTGGTCAAGTATGTGGTGTCGGTGCGGACCAGTAGGGAGCGCAAATTCTTTGGCGATAATCACTTTTGCGGCGGAGCAGTCATTTCCACGACGGTCATTCTGACCGCTGGCCACTGCCTCTACTCGGGGTGTGTACCGTAAACGGGTAGCTGATCCACTTGGGTGTTCCATACCGATACCGCCCTCACGGAGTCTCATGCTCTTGCTCTCTCTCTCTCTCTTTCTCTCTCTCTTGGTCTTGCAGAACCACCAGGATAAAGGCCAGCAGGCTGAAGGTCGTGGCCGGTACACCGCGACGGCTGCAGCGCACAGACGTCACACAGGTGCGAGATGTCGATGCGGTGAAGCCTCATCCCAAGTACACGCCAAAGCGACTCAAGAACGACATTGGGCTGCTGCTGCTGAAGAAGGCGCTCAATCCCAATCCGGAATTCGTGCAGATAATTCCCCTCTCCACCGCCACGCCAGCGGCGGGCTTGAAGTGCACAGTCGTCGGCTGGGGCACGGTCATACAGGCAGGTTGCCCCTCCCTCCTGCCCACCAGTCGCCTGTCTTTCATTTTGTTTTTGCCCCCCCCTCCCCCCCTCAGTTTGGTCCCACGCCCGACGAGGCCGTCAACGGTGATGTGTCCGTCAATGACAATTCGTTTTGCTCCTCGCTGGAGGGCTTCGGCAAGGGCATGCTTTGTGCCAGCGATGCCAGCGACCACGAGGTGGACAGCTGCCAGGGCGACTCCGGCGGACCTCTCATGTGCGATGACATTGTTGTTGGCGTCGTCTCGTTTGGTGCCGGCTGCGGCGAACCCAATTCGGCCGGCGTTTACTCGAACGTCCACTACTTTGGTGATTGGATAAGGACAAATGGCGGCACTCGACACGCGGTCGCCGTCACCCTGCCACTCCTCATCAGCCAGCTGCTGCTGCTGCTGCTGCTGCCGATGCTGCTCTGCTTCTGATTCGTGTGTCCATAAATGCTTATTAGATTCCACGTACCATGGCAGTTCTTTGCATTCAACAGGCGATGGAGTAGGACGTGGCCAGCGCGCAGCTACTAAGTAATCACCGTTCGCTGCTCATCGCGGTGTACCCTGGGAACCTGCAACATGCAACCTACAAGCCAGGCAGCCAGCCTGCAAACGACAAACCAAAATTGACTAAAACCAACGGGCACGGCCTGTCAGGCTCTCTCGCGGACATGCTGTGTGTGGGAGGTGTCCGTGTCCTTGTCCGTGTGGGTGGGAGCAGGAGCAGGCGGGGCAGGAGGAGCAGGCGGCCAATTGCAAAATGCGGTGCACTCTATGCGCATGTATGCATGTATGTGTGGATCGTGGAACAACGGTTTATGGTTTCGCTGCAGGCGGATACACACAGGTGCACTGTTTGTGACAGCAATTATCGCATCACGTCCAAACACCTGCCCCATGCCGCATGCCCCAGTCGCATGCCCCATGCCGCTACGTTCAAGCAACAGCATTATGCAACAAATGGCAATGGTTAATTTCCGCGCACTCACCAACTGTTGATTAGACCAATTAGTGGCTACAGTAGTCTGCTCGTCCTCGTCCTCGTCCGCGTCCTCGAGCGTCGCCAGCTTAAGTTCGAGTGGATGGGTGGCGTGGCGTGGCATGCAATAAAGGTGTTGCAGCTGGCACCCATTTAAGGGGAGAGCGAAATTCCTTCATAACTAACTAATTCTACTGCAAAGATTTTTGTATCCCACAGGTCAGAGGTCTAAGTCAGAGACGCCAAAACGTCTACCATGCCAAAGAAAAAAAAAACATAAAAATTCAATAAAAAAACAAAGTTCCATACACATAATAGATAATTCTATTCCCATAATATTTTCTAAATTTATTGCAACTAACCAATTGACATATAATTTAATTAACTTGAATGTCAAAACCTATTAAAATTAGCAAAATTTAATGTCCTTCGTTTTTGGTATTTCTATAGCCATTTTTTTTTACTCTATTTTTTTTTTTTATAAGTGATATGTTTCTTGATTAAAAGATCTGCCACAAAGTTACTCTAACATATTCATTTATCTACAAAAAATTACCCAAACTCGACATGTTATTTTTTTAGGCTTTTATTACCCTGTAATTGTGTAATGCGATGCCATTAATTTACGTCGGAGGCATCTGCGCGGATTTAATCAAACAACAAAACAGGCAAGGTTTTTAAGCATTAATAAATGGGAAACTAAGCACGAAATATTTTATATATTAGTATAAAAATGTTGCCCGATTCTCAGAGTCTTGGAATAGTGTGACCCAAGCTCGAAAAACTTTTTCAGGTCATATTTTGAAAACAGCACATTCGATTTTTGTAATTTTTTTGCCAAATAAAATGCTACTTAATGACTTTGCAAAGAAAAAATCTATTTTGTCATTTAACTGTTTTATTATATTTTTAAACATTTTTTTTTGTAAGCTGATATGCCCCAGATCCACTGCTCTAATTGGAGGTACTTCCCGGGGCGGATCTCACAGTGCCAGCTGGAGCGTGACAAATGCAACAGTTCCAGGCAGTTCCGGAATGTGTTTGGGGGGGGAGGGATGAGAACGAACTGCTCCTCCCATGTGGATCTCTGGGAGAAATCAGTGAGGAAGCATGTTGATTTAATATCAGCAATGCAATTAGTAATCGCACACGCACACTCCAATCACTTACACATACAATTAGAAAAACCAAAGAATAACAAGTGCCGATGCCGATGCCTCACCCAGAGTCCTTAGTCCTTAGACCTTGGCCCCACAAGCACACAAGTCACGAACAGGACCCCAATGTGGGTGGGTGGCCAGGGCCATCAGCGGTAGACGATGGAAGGCGGCAAAACAATGTTCAATTGATGTGGGACCGACTCTGACTCGACCCTCCCGTGTGTGTGTGGGCAACCCAGAGGCAAACACACACACACACACACACACACACATGAAATCAGGTCTGTCATTTCGCATTCGTATTGTGTGTTGTTCAAGTGTTCATAATGAATTTAATCGCGTATGTTTATTGCTCACTTTGCTATGGTAGACTCCTCTCGGCCCTGTCTCTGTCTCTGTCATGCTGTCTGCTCTTCCTCAGTCACTGCGTGTCATGCACATACATACACAAAACACTCCTCTGTGTGCGCGCCAATGCACTATGGTCCCAACAACCACTTTTGTTGGCCAAAATTAATAACTCGAAAACGAAACAAGATTTTTCAAATTAGTTTCTTGTATCGTATATATATAATCAATAGAAGAAATTACAAAAAAAGGGTGTGGCACCGCCTTTTTTTGATAATGCATATTAAAAAATAGTTAATGATAGGGATAGGAAGTAATTATAACAGTTTTATTAAGAAATTAGTTTAAATAATTTTTATTAAAATTATAAAGGCGTGGCACGCATAAAAACAACACAAATTTTGATTTGAAAACAACAAATTTTTGTAATTGTTGCCACCTAGAGAAAAACCCTTGTGTCAGGGTGGAAAACGCGTTTCCAGGGTGCTCGTTGGGTCAGAAAGTTTGCGGTTTCTTACTGGGTTCTGTACAGTCTTGCGAATCAATTAAGCCTTCTCTGGGCATTCAACTTATTGTTTTAGCACAAAAAAGAACGCCAAACAACTCTGTATTGTTGATTTTGAGGTTATATTCTACTAATGAAAATTTTAAGATTTGTGGTCAAATATGGTATTTCTTACTATATACATTTCAACAAGAATTTATTAATCTACATCACACAATAGATTTCAAGGTGGGACTAGGTGGGACTCACTAAATATACGTTTTCAAACATCAGTTTTCAATCAAAATTGGCTAAAAAAAAAGGACTCATTTTAACCTAAAAGTACTAAGACATCACAACTACGAGATACAGTTAACAATACAAAACACGTAGTAAAAACCCAACAATTAAGATTCAATCAAAAAATTTGATCGGTTAATCGTATTTTTCAATTTATGAGAGATTTAAAACTGTAATTAAATTGCCACTTTTTCACTGCGGGTGCTGTTCAGCAAGAACAGCTGGGTTGCACAGCTGATTTTGCGAATGTGGCGCCATCTATGGACATTTCTGGTACGCAACTTATGAGCTCACTCTTTTTTAATACAGAGTGATCAAAACCAGGGTTATTTTTTAACTTTTGAAAAATGGGTTTTGGCCAACAAAAGTGGTCATTGGGACCATAGTGCAATGTTGGGTCCCATCGCCATCTTCATCGCCTCATGGTGGAGTCGACACTTTATCATTTTGTCACGCTTCTTGTTTACCAAGTTGGCTCGTGAGCGGTCTCCTTCTTTTGCATATTGATTTATGCATTGTTGTTGCTGTTGCAGACACACACACACACGCACACACACACGCATACAATAGACTGATCCGGAGTCCCTTTTTGCCCTCGAAGCAAAGCAAATTGTTTGCATATATTAGACACATGCCAGAAATTGCATTTCCAAATGAACTTCATTTCAAAATAATTGCACTTAAAGTTGTCGTCGTTTGTCGTGGTGTCTGATCCCTGCCGAATCCAGTCCCATGTGGTATGTGGATGACCCCAGAGCCCCCCTTCCAAAAACAATACCTAACACACACACATCCTGGCAGCCACTTCATCTCCATCAGCTGCTCAACGTGCGCCCCCAGAAGAGTATCCAAATGGGATACATCCCTCGCCATCACACAGTGCGTATGGCTAATCGCCAACCTGTCGACGTGCTAAGTGCCAAAACCAACTCTTTATATTCCACAGAACACACACCCCCATGCCCATGCCCATGTCCATGCCCCATCCACATGTTGGACAAAGAGGATGAAACAATCGCTGCAAAAGCCGCAAAGGGCAGGCAGCTCCAACGATGAGGATGAGATGAGCCGGGCATTGGTTTATGTGAAGCCCAAGCACACAGGCAGCAGAGCAGAGCAGTACCTGGATAGGGGACCAGGACCACCCCCAACCATGGAACCAGCAACCGTACGAGTGGTTTTACTCGCGATGCGTGCTGACAAATCGACGGCTAAGCCGAAACGTCAACACGTCGATAGCCAGAGCAAGAGAGAGAGAAGCGGGATGGAGAGACCGAAGCCAAGCCAATCCAAAGCTCAAGCAGAGCAGCAGACTCTGAACCACAAGCCGACCATGGGACCCATCCGCGCCATCCACATGGCCAGGCCAGGCCCGGAGCTGGAACCGACGAAACCAAACCAAAATCACTATCAATTTGCGTTTGTAAATACATTTTAATGGCATTTCAAAGTGAAGCCGAGTTGACCCCAGCACCAGCCCCAGCAGCAGCCCCCACCACCACCACCCAAACGGCGTTCTCCGGCGGTAATCAATTTGGAAATTTAGGCACAATAGTCGCGGTCGTGTGTTGTGCAGGGAAAGCAAAAGCAGCAGCAGCAAAAGTGGAGTGGATGTTGGTGTGTGTGTGGGTGTGGGTGTGTGTGTGTGTGTGTGTGTGTGTGCGTGGGTGGGTGGGTTCGTGGAGCTCGTGTTATGCCTCGGCATAGGCAGAGATCCGAATGACACCGGAAATTCAAACTACTTCCTGTTTGTCGGTGGCATTCGTTAGGCCCGTGTTTCATTTTCGTTTGGATTTGCTTTTGGTCTGACGGATGATGGCTTGGCCTGCGATTTGATTTGTTTTCATTGTAACGAGCCTTTTATTAGCCCCAGTGCCGAGTGCCCAGTGCCCAGACCCTTTATCCTCTATCCTTTGCTTTTGCCCATACCCTGCCATGCTCTCCCATACCCATGCCACATGCCACATCCATCCCATCCACGTGCCCTGTTATATTGGCTCTATTGTTGTTTCTGTTGCTGTGTCGTTGTGGCGCTGTTCGTTAAATGCAAACACCAAAAGGGTTTTCAAAAACAACAATCAACGCCAGCAGCAACCGACCGACCGACAGTCCGACCCACCGACCAACAGACCAATCCACCCACCCCACCCCATACCTCTGGCTTCAGGCTAGAGCGCTGGGGTAGCCAGGGCGGTGGGGAGGGGGGGACAGTGATAGGAACGCCAACGGCAGGCAACCCGTTTCGATTCTGTTTGCCCAACTGGCACACTGGCAAGGGGCCACAGCAGTGGCCATCAGCACAGAACCGTCACGAACAGCAGGCCAAAAGCAGTCGGGTCTCGGGTCTTGGTTCTAGGCAAGTGCCCTGTGGTGTGTGCACTTTTTAATTGTCTGACATTTCGCGTGCGGCTGTGTGGGTGCTAGTGTCTGTCTCTCTGTCTGTCTCTCCCT